GCTTTGCTGTATGATGTTGGGTACGATGGATCATAGTCTAGTTAAAATATTTGTTCGACTTGCCCCTTTCTATGGTATATTTTGCGAATTACATAGAACAACGCACACTCATAGCACACGCACATTCATCCCTTATGAACGCACGCATGCAAACCCTATCCCAATGAGCTTCTTCGAAGACTGGACAGACAAATTCTCGAGATTGAAGAATTCACCACAGGCACTTCGCTGTCGATGGGTACGTCGCCTACCACTAAAAAGCACAACGCCATTAAATCCTAGAAAATTCGCTCTCACGGGAAGTCGAACCTAGGAACTGAGGTGCCATTGAGGCTCTTGAAACCACTAGGCAACATGCCCTTTCGCTTTCTATGGTATAATTTACCACTCTATATTCATCAACTAGTTGTATTTTTCTTGGGCCGGTTGAATAAGACGTACGGTTAGTTAAATAAAAAAGTTTAAATTTCAAATCAAAATCTTAGAAATTGGAACGTAACTTTTGGACCATAATATTTAAATAAAAAAGTGGTCAACTACAAAGTTAAGGTTCTCAACAAGCTCTTCAAGTTGGATTTATGAATTTTTTGTGCTACACCTATTCTCAGACATGGCCATATATATAGTCAACCGCCTCTAGAAATTTATTTTTAGAGACTAGATGAAGTATCAGCCACCTCTTGAAATGCCTCTATTTCTAATAGCTTGTAAAATGGGACTTCTAGAGGCGGCTGAGCTTTCTAATCATCTATGAAAATAGAGGGCATATCTAGAGGTGTCTGAAAACACCAACCACCTCTAGAAATCGATTTCTAGAGGTTTGTCATCTTTAAAACTATTTTGATAGACGGTTTTTGCTTGACCCATCTCTAAAAAAAGGGCATCTCTTAAAATTCATTTTTGTAGTAGTGTTGTTGATTTATATATCTTTGAGTTCTAGAAGTAAGTATAACCACATTTATTCACTCAATAAAAACAATTATTTCAAGTTGGTCGTCTCTTTGGTGCAATGCCTATATGATTGTAATAACTAACGACAAAAAAAGTTCTTATTCCATACATGGATATGCCTATTTTGATATTGTAGAACAAGCGGCGAAACATGAATACACATCTTACATATGTTGATGGATACATAGCAATTGACCACTGTAGGGCCATACATGGATATGCATATTACATGCATTAATATCGACCCTAACAGTTCTTATTCGGTGTCTAGTAATACATGCATTATTATATTGCTAAATGGGTACTCGTCATGTGTCAACGAGATAGTTTTACTATGGGCAGTTAGGATTCTTCCCAGGTCCCCCAAAGTAGATGTACGTGCCCCAGTCGACACTGGTACCACTTTGCACATTATAGCAGTTGCTCTGCTCAGCTAGCAAGTTCACACCACTTGGCAATCTAAGGGTGTTGGACGAATCGACCACTAGCATGTTCTTGATATGACTAGCCTTGCCAAATCCTTCGTTAGGGAAGTGTCCACAAACCATTTGTGTTGAAGTTTGGCCAGCGTCAGGCGAGAATACCTCGCCGCCCCACTCAACAGAGGAGGCACTATCTTGAAAGTATGAGAAGATCGAGGATGGCCAATAACCCACGTCATTGCCTCCCACTTGTAGCCACCAATTGCCACTCAAAAGGCCCTGCAAGTTTAAATGTTAGTTGGGAGTTCAATAGTCAGAATCATGCATCAGCAAAATTGAGTTTACGTGATTCTTATACGCGTGATGGGCAAGTTCTTCCCATTTATTGGAATGGAGTAGAAAAGTGCCGTCTTTAAACATGTTCCACAAAAACTTTACTTATATATATACTGAAGTGTGAAACCATTACAACAAACCACCACGTAAGAGAAACCTTTCTACTGGTAAGTTCGAATCAGCATGCATGGTTGTTATTTTCCATGCAAGCACGTAATATGAGAAATGCTTTTGTAGAACTTGTTTGCAGAACTCGGTATACTTGTTCCCGTGAAATTACACTGAAGGGCTTATTGTAAACATTTTTTCCGACACACGGCATGAATGTCTTATCCTTGTTGGGTCTAATTTTATAGCCACGAATGTGTTAGACTATGGGATCAGTGTTTAAGTAGTGAATTGATATATGATATAGCTAATAGATGTGCAAAGTCATATGTAACGCAATGGTGTGAATAGGAAAGTTTAACGTAGGACATGAGAACTGTAACATGGCAAACTACTTGAGTGCATGCTAATAGACTTAACTTGATCAGATAAACAAGATAAATATGGTTGAAGCTTCTACGCATTATCAATGTTTGAGATTTATTAGTTTCAGCATGTAAGGCCTTGTTCTAAAGAAAATATTAACTGTTGGGTTGGGGATCGCAACAGAATGTGAAACATGCAAGGGGACACAAGTGCTATGTATTTGGCAACACACATACCAGGATCGGAGCCATATTATCAAAGAAGAACAAAGAAGCATTGCATTTGGCACGATTCTCTATATGCACATTAATGAATTTAACTTTTTGTTCATTGGATGTGAATGCTATGTATTTTTTACCTTCCAAACAAGAATATCGAAGTCATATTGTGTGCCACCATATGTGGAGATCGGGGACAAGCTACCACCGATGGCGATCTGATTGTTTGTCTGGACAAACCCTGGGCATCCTAGGTTGTAACATCCTGTGTGTTCATATGCATCCCGCTATAACATTCCAGATCAATAGAAAGTTAGTAAACTTATCCCAACCTTAATGAAAAAGGATCAATATTATTTCTAATGAAGACAAAAAGGAATGTGATGTTTATCTTACTGTCCAGTAGATAAGAGTCTAGTATTGCTATCCCCATACATAGCTGGGTAAACCTGCAATTTTGTATAGAGAAAAAAGGGTCATTAGTTTACAACGAAAGTGATACCACAACTTACTTCCTCATTAAAGAATGCTGAGGGCTTATATAATATCCTGATGGTAGCTATCTATATATAAGAATGGCCACCTAGGACCCGTTTATTAGGTGGAAGAGAGCTAGAGGGCAAGGACCAGAGCTTTCGATGTTCTTCCTTTCCTGACGCAAACAAAAAACAAGCAAGGCAGAAAATCCTGCGGCTATTATGTTTTCACTTCAGGTCTAACCTGCCATCCAGCTTCAATGGTATTGAGGTCGTTGCCGCTGTAGGAACCTGCAGTGACCCAGAGCTGTGACAAGCTGAAATCATTTGTCCGAGCAATTGTTGGTTGCCACAAATTGAAGGAGGCTTTGGTTCCATAGCACTTATTATCCTGTGCAGCTGCTACAGCATGCTGCTCCATGGGAGAGAAAATAAAGTTAAATGAGCAATTGCAGAAATAATTGTACGAATCAAAGAGGCAGATTATCAATAACATGGTGATTCTTGAATAATTTTTTTTACCTCGTGGCCATTTAATACATTTGGCGTGTCAGGGCCACTTATGGAATTGAGGTTCGGAATACTCCTGGGCCTCTTCTTGCCATACCTGCTGATAGAACTTGCCCTTAGGACATCCTCCACCATGCATGGTTCTTCGTATTGGTATGGTGTTCTCAGGGCACTTGCCATTTTGATGCCATGTTTGGGTGATTGGATTGGAGGTAATGTTGTAGTTTTGATTTAGGCTTCTTGGGTGGTAAGAAGGCCGCATCTGAAAGTTGACAATTCAGTGATATAATGATACATAGGTAATAGTGGGCGCCACTGAATATATTCATCAGAATCACCCAAGCATGCTACTCCTGAGTATGTTTGGTCAGGAAGAGAAACCTGGATAGTATGGTTCTTGAGTAGGGGATGATCAAATGCAGGTTGTTTGGAGACGTGCACACAGTCTATGATATCTCCATCTGGGCTCTGTTAAATTCTCAGAATCAGTTGTTGGAACAAGGTTGAAAACGGGAGAAAATATTGTGCGCAAACTGTACATGCTACTCCTGTAAATTAATGTTCAATAAATAAAATGCGTTGAGTTTTTTTTTGTGATTTTGTGCAATTTCAACTAGCCATGGCCCTTTAGTCTGTTATTTATACAGTTCGGGTACAAGTGTCCTTTATATAAGTTCTTACAAATTTTTCTATCCTGCTAGTCTCTATAGGTACAAGTTGTATACATTTCCTAAGGAATGATACTTTCTTATGAATACTACGAGTGTGAGTTCCTTAGAGAAAACAGGAGGTATATAACGAAACTGGAAGTAAGTTAATTGAGATTTGTCACTTGTATCGCATTTACTCTTTTTCTCGTCCATGTTTTTACTGTACTTCCGTCACATAACTGAAACAAGCATCTCAATGATGACAAAATTACAAGCATTTTATTCATCCACCGCGAAACTTGTCGTCAGGATGGCTACTTTAATTTGTTAGCCCTGGCGGACTACTATGAAATCGAAGACTAATTACTCTATCTTTGGAAAAGTTCAAGTGGAACTATATTCATCTTCACATTTGTACAACATATGTGATGAATATTTGTCTTGAATAAACTTCTGTTGACACATGACTATGAATGACTGTGGCGAGTCGGCGATATAGCGAACTGTTAAATATGTGTATGCCATCTCTGAAATGTGGCTCTAACTAAATATTTTACAATTGGGGGATCTGTTTGTAATGCAAGAATTGCATATAAATTTCACAGGAGTCAGTTCTCTGAAATGCAGGTGGTCCTAAATTAACAAAAGTGCCAACAGAAATGAATTACCTACCACAGGAGGTCTTTGTGGCACTCGTAGAAATAGCTAGGAACATCAAGATTTACGTGTACTAGTGCTGTCATGGATTGTCTGCCAGTTTAAACCACGAAGCAATCTATCTGTCATTGTTACTATGGAAGCAAGAATTACGTGTGCGCCGCTGGCTATTATTCCTTGTTAGAATGATTATTATATTGTATCTATAGTGATAGCATGCACGAGACCTTTGCATGAACGTCAAGCTGAACACACGGCTTGTTGCGTTTAATAGGAGACGGATGGGTGATGCCAATATATGTCTACCTGGATGGTTGCGAGAGGAGTCTTGTTGAGACGCCTGAGGAGGCTCTGCACCTCCTGCCGCCGCTCCGCGGACATCTCGGCAGTCGTCTCCGCCGCCGCTGTGGCCGGCCTCTCTAGGAAGAGAAACCCGAGAGCGACGACGAGGGCGACCAAGCACGTTCGCATCGCTGCCATTGCGCACTACGTGGAACTATTTTGTAGCTTGTGCTGCAATCAGTGTGCTGTGCGTAGAGGAGGCCGAACGTCCTGGCCTTTTATAGGGGCTCGAGATCGAGTAGCGACGTCCATGATGGCCGGCTTGGCTCTGCCTTATTGTGGACGCGTCAAAGTATTTTCCGGCCGTATGCTCCGTTCATAGGAGAATGTGCTACGCCATAGGTGTCAGCGTCAGGTTCATGGAAGTTTCAACTGACGACAGGTCCATTGAGCGTATCTTAGGCTCTTCAGCGCACCTGTTTATCTTTGTTCCACCAAATGCTCAGTGCAAAATCTGATGAACTTGAATATTCAAAAGAGCACACTACAATCGGTTTTGGCTCTGTGAGAGCTTATTGTTAGATTGTTACTACCATCTCAGTTACACTTAAAAGACAAGACACCGTAAACCCTGTCTAAATATGCGATGGTACGATTACTACTAGTACTATTGGTTGCAACCAAATTCAACATCCGCTAGCTGGTATAAACGCACCTGCTTGTCGTTAGCTGTGGTTCATGGCTAAATAAAATTGCCAGCATGCATTAATAATCAGCTTTTTACAGTGGGCTAGTGGGTTGGACTGGCAAGGATGTTACAAATTATGAGTAGATCGGGTTATAGAATGCAACTACAACTCTACCTTATACTGCCAAATACAACTCAAAGTCCTAATGTAACCAGACTCATACAAATATTGGACACATATCTAACAAAGCATATAGTTGGTTTCGTTGCTGATTATTGCTGTGTCACTCAAGTGATGAGTCCATCACAGCAGGGCTTCTGGGGATATCTGAGTCAACAAGGATATATGGATCTGTAGTATATACGCCAAGCAAGACTGACGTGTAAGGCAGGTTTGGAATGAGGAGAATTCTTTAATATTCTATATGAAGACAGATTTTGCAGTTGCACCCAAGTCTTGACGTGTCTCTTGTCTATATTCCATGAGGCCGAATAATCCTTTTAATTCTCCATGAACAATGAAATATTGTAGAGGTTCACATCACGTTGAACACAATCTCTAGTAATACCTACAAAATACTTCCCAGTGCTCCAAATTGTAAATACTGTTAGATTTGTCGTAATTCAAACTTCTCATTTGACCATGTTTATGGAAAAATGCAGAATTATTTAAACGTAAATCAAGATTCCTTACACTGTTAGAGAACCGAGCTTTACTCCCGGTGGGGAACCCCCTCTAGTCCCGGTTCCCCACCCGGGAGCAAGCATCCGGGACTAAAGGGGGGGTCCTTTAGTCCCGGGTCAGGAACCGGGACTAAAGGAGGACCTTTAGTCCCGGTGGGTAACACCAACCGGGACTAAAGGTGCCTCCTGACATGCCACGATGGTCGGCACCTTTAGTCCCGGTTGGTAATACGAACCGGGACTAAAGGTTTTTTTCTTTTTTCTTTTCTTTTCATTTTTTTGTTTTCTTTTCAAAATAGGTTTTTGAAGTCGTATTGTACGCTGCTAATTATACATTTATACGCGCATATAGTATGTTTCGGTTCAAGCACAATGAACGTATTAAATCACACAATTCAAGCATAGAAATATATATATATATATATATATATATATATATATATATATGAATGCATGCATCATATATATATTTACATGCATGCATGCATATGTGTATTTTACATTATATTATTTCATGTGCATATATTACAAAAGATTGCATTACAGTTGTTGTGACATAACAAGTTTCCTCTCATTCTCTAGCTTGGCTTCAATGGCAGTGTTGGGTCGAAGTAGAACTCGCCCTTGGAATCGATGACCTGCTCATTAAAAAATCCGGCTATAGACTCTTGAATTGCTTTGATTTGGTCTTGCCGTATGACCTTTTCCTCCAACCATCGAGTCTACAGGTTTGAATTAAAGGAAAATAAATTAATATATGTACATATATATATATATATAAAGACATAGTAACACAATCAATAATAATAATTAAATGAATATATAGTGTATTTTTAACATACTTTGAGTCTCTCTGTAGGAGTTCTTTGGGAGAGCACCTTGATAAACTTGCAAACATAGTAACCACAGTAGTTGTTCCCCTATTCCTGCCTTAGACACCACTTTACGAGAAAAGATTTGTCATCCAATCTGGTGATCCGGTGAAAGCTATATGTTTAATTAATAAAGATAATGCGATTCAGGGGACTTACTTTCAAAGGGATTACATTCAGTGGCGCTTTGCATTTTTCCATGTGTTGCTTCTCAATAAAGGTTTTTTCAAACACTGCCCAATAAAAAATTTGCCACGTTATCAGATATAGTTAATCATCATGTTTGTGTGTATATATAGTTGCTAGAGATCCCGAAATTACCTCTGGATAATATCTATCATATCTTGGTAGTCTTGTTGTGGTTTTCTCATCGAGTCATAGATTATCAAGTGACTTTTCACCAGATCGATGTCTATCAATATCCAGTGATTGCTGCATGTGTTTATAGGATATAACGCATAACACTCATTAATTAACTAGAATCAACATATGAGCCATTAAGGATATGATCGACATGATTAACACTCACTTGAAGTTATAGGGAAAGAGTATATCCTTCTTGTGGCGTTGGTTCACTAAGAAGTTCATGAGGTTACTCTTTGACTCAGACTTCCAATTAGTCTTTGGAGTAATTGGGTCTTCGAATACTATATGGGGATCAACAAAACCAATTTCATTGCGCCTTCCTTTCTGAGCTCTGTCATTGTAAATCTGCATATATATAGTACTTGTTAGGATAATTTATATGCATATACACACAAATGATGAGTTTAATAATAGATCGAAAAGAATTATTACTTACGAGTGCAATAGCAGCTAATGATAACTTTGTCCAGAGAGGTCGGGTGGCATAGTTGATGAAATTCTCGCAAAGTCAACATACATAACATCATCGCCACGGAACCAATGTTCGTCTCTAATTTCGACACCAACGTTAGAAGTCTCCTTCGGTAGACGCCGCATGTACCACTTGTTTAGCAGGGTACATTTGCGTCCCCGGATCGAGATAAGGCTTGAGGGTTGTATAGACTCGCCTAGTACAAATTTTTTCTTCCAAATATCAACCTCCACGCACTCTCAATGTTTCCATCACCAAACATCCGGTAAAGGTCGAGACCGGTCTCATCAAGAAATTCACCAAGGTGATCCAAATCGACATCCGGAGGTATGTTTGCTCGATGCATTAATCCTAAATTGAACCATATTCATTACCAACAACTAGCGGGGGATTGATTGGTGCGCTTTTGTTGTCCGAGTTGGGCAATGCCTTTCCCCGCCCGCTTTTTTCTCGTGTGCCGCCTCAATTGACTTGGTGAGAGTGCGGTCATAGTCCGATAACGTTGATTTGGACGACGGCTTACGAGATTCCCCTACCGTTGTTCTTTGGTAAGAAGTCACCTTTTTCTTAGAATATCCGGAGCTACGAAGAAATACAGTTTCCCGGGTTTCTCCTTGCTTCTTGATTCATTTTAAGTTTGTCATAGAATCTAGACATGTCTTTTTATATGCATCAGTTCCTTCTTCCTTCTCTTGAGACATTATTTTGGGAATAGCCCTTGGTTTCACGGTGGCTTTCTTTGCAAAGGGGACTGGTTCTTCGTTTGAGGGGTTGGCCTCTTGCTAGGCTTCTTGGTAGGCGGGGGGGAGGCGTTGGAGACCTCCTTGGAGGTGTTGGCAGTGGCGTTGGAGACCTCCTTGGAGGTGGCGGCCATGGCGTTGGAGACCTCCTTGGAGATGGTGTAGATGCAGCCTCGTCTTCCAACATAATGTCATCATCAGACTGAGCACTATGATGATCTGGCGATTGAACAATTGGATTTAGGTTGGGGAGGATCTCGCTACAAAAAAAAAGGAATGACATATTATTATGAGCAGATTGTTAATTATTTAAGCCAATACAAATTAATGATGTAGTGTTTTCATCCGCACGCATTCTATGGTGACGTAGTTCGGGAGGAGGTGGAGCCGACATCCCGGAATGATGATGTAGCGCTTGCGCCATAGAATGAATGTCTTCTCCGCTTCTCCTAGAGTCTTCTCACCATCACCTCCGGGGAATGTCAAGAGGCAAATCACTAAAACCTTTTTCAAACTTTATCTACCGAGATGGTAGCATATCCTTCTTGGATTATATTCCCATGAATCCTTGGTGTCTTGGTTCGGTCGATAGGATTAACAAGACCGATAGCCACCTTGATTGTAGAATTCTCCTTCGAATGTGTAGCTCACACGTTGTACAAGGTTCGATGGACGTCATCCACGGGGAAGCGCGATCCTGTGTCCCCTTGATTTGGTATCTCCGTGGAAGCGCAGTTGCTTTTCAACCGAAACAGTTGGCTAATGTTGATTTCGGCTCGATGCCTTCTTACTTGCACTCACCGCTATTTGCACTTGCCTTCCGATTTCCTCCCGCATTCTCACTTCAAGGTTTTTTTCCGCTCCTGTGCTTCACGCACCGCTTCCTCCAATCTCTGGAGCCGCTCTGCCTCTTCTTCCTTCTTTCTCTGGCGACTTCTGTAAGAAGGTCTGTCCTGAGGGAATCCATGCTCCCACGAGACACTTCCTTTGCCTCTAGTTCGGCCACCATGTTCAATGATCCCGATGGCGTATGTCACTCATCCTTCTCTCTGTTGGGCCTGAACACACCACTAGCAGTAGCTCTCTCGAGCATAAAACAATCTTTGCTTTGCTTCTTGCGCCTTGCGCCATAAACGCACTTCCCACATCTCTGGTCTAGTGTTCCCCATGACCGAAAAACCAATTCTTTGCACGTTCTCCCCACTCGAGTGATTCTAGTCGATACCCTTGGCAAGAAGGTGCGCTTCCATTTTGTTCCACTTCTTAATGGCGGTTGGGTAGCCACCGATCCCAAGGTATGGGGGTATGTCTTCTGTTGGGCATTACGTTGGTTCTTTATCACCCGACTCACACCCTCTTCCAAGTCTTGTCTTGTA